GCCCTTCTGCATGTCTTCATTTTTTAATGAAATACTAATTTGAGAGTTAAGTTGGACATGTTGTGCATTAGTCATGTTCAGTATTCTTTTTATTTTTTAAAGATGTTTTTGCTATAGGGCGTGTGCGCTGGCCAGACAGAGAGAGAGAGATAGAAAGCGAGAAATCCCCCCCCAGGGGGGATGGTCACACTGCATTCCCTTCTCCTCCATTCTCCTCTCGGGATCTTGGGCATGCACGCACACGCCCCCGGCATGAGTTTTAAGCCACCGGGTCCGGGACGCGAACCGCGGTCTACTACATGGGAGTTCAGTGACATAGCCATTACGCTAACTGCTGGTCCCAATATTTTTTTTTTTTGGAGAGGTTTTCCTATAGGGTGCATGCACTCTCCTGACAGAGAGAGAGAGACATAGAGACAGAAAGCGAGAAATCACCCCCCAGGGGGGATGGTCACACTGCATTCCCTTCTCCTCCATTCTCCTCTCGGGATCTTGGGCATGCACGCACACGCCCCCGGCATGAGTTTTAAGCCACCAGGTCCAGGACGCGAACCACGGTCGTCTACATGGGAATCCAGCAACATAGCCATTACGCTAACTGCTGGTTCCCAAGTCCCAGTATTTTTTAAAAAGAATTATTTCATTTAACTTTATTTATTTTAAGATTTATTTATTTAATTCTATTTGTTGTTATTATTTTTTAATTTGACCAGAGAGAGAGAGAGAGGAGCAAGGCACCAGGTCCAGGACTTGAACCACGCTCGGCGATGTTGGAATTCTGCAGCTTTAACCACCTGCTGACCCCTTTTTTATTTATTTAATTTTACTAGAGAGGGACAGTGTTAGAGTAAGTGACTGAGAGAGAAAGAGAGAAAGGAAGCCACCAGATCCAGGACGCGAAGCATGGTCAACCATATGGGAATCCCGCGCCCTTATCCATCATGCCACCTGCCGTTCCCCCATTTGTTGTAATCTTAAGCCAAAAGTGCTTGTGACTTGTTTCCTGAATTATCAAATTAGTTATGGCTTATTCTGAACTTGGGTTTGTCTTTGGATTCGATTTTAAACCTCTGAGTCTTTTTTTTTTTTTTTAAGAATTATTTTTATTTAATTTTATTTCTCCATTTATTTATTTATATATTTAAATTTGACCAAAGAGGAATAGAGTGAGAGAGATAAAAAGAAGGTGAGAAAGTAAGCCACCAGGTCTGGGGCTCTAACTGTGGTCAGCCATGTGGGAGTCCTGGGCCCTTCACCACCACGCCACCTTCCGGTTACATTAAATATAGTTGAACTTAAGTGCATTATGTCATAGACAGTGACCCTAAACTACCTTGATAGCTTTATTTTGGTTAAAACTTCCTTTAACACCAAACTATAGTAGTCACTTACACATCTAATGTCTTGGTTTTTCATCTGGGCATATAAAAATAATACTCACAGAAGGAGAGATACGGACACAGTGGTTCTTACCTCTGGAGAGGTGGAGTTGCCTGAAACTGAGAGACTTAGAAAGACAGAAATGAATGAGGCAGAATTGTCTTATTCCTTTTATGGTTTTTTTTATTCCCAACCTCAGGAGGAATCTGGGAGAACTTAATGAGAGTTAAGTAAGAATCAGAAAAAAAAAGTTGGAATACCAGATTTGTGAGGGATATTAAAGAAGTTGGAATCTTATCTTGGAAGAAAGCAAGCATTGTTGGTCTCTTATCCTTAAAGGATTTAAAGGGGGAAGGAGGTAACATTTTTTTGAGGTATTACTAGGTGCTTTGTAAGGGTTTACGTTCCTTAGTATGTTAAGTGTTCCACATAGGAAAGAAATTAAAAAATCAACTTTTATTGACCTTGAATAGGACTTCTTTCAGCATTTGTCAGATTGAGATCTTTAGAAGCTTTTGTGGGGAGGGTGACCGGATGGGAAGGGGTCAAAAATGCAGCTCTCTTCCTAAATGCAAAAAGCCATTCACAAGCTCTCTTGCAAATGCCTTATTTTGTCCTAGAATTCCATTTATCACTGATTTGTTTTCTTAGCTCATGAATTTCCCTGTTTGCCAAAGCAAGTAGCGTGGATTCTGGCTACAAGCAAGGTTTTCATGTACCCGGAGCTCCTTCCAGTGTGTGCCCTGAAGGCAAACAATCCCCAGGACAAGATCTTCTTCACCAAGGCAGAGGACAAGTAAGTCTTTACTGTGGGGGCTCAAAAGTACAGGCCGTCCCAAGGAAAGTCAGGGTTCTATGAGAAGATCAGGGGAAAGGCGTGTAACGACAGAGACACAAAAGACAAAAAGGAAAGTGGCATGTGTCTGTAGCATGTGCTTGTGCCAGCAGGGCCAAAAGCTGCTCTTTTGAGGAAGGCCAAACGTATTTTCAAAACACTTTATTTAATGCCGTAGGGCACATGTACACTAGAGAGAGACACACCCACATAGAGAACCCTGCAGCTGGACTTGGTCACACTGCAGTCCTTTCCCCTCAGATTCTCTACCATCAGGATTTGGGGCATACACACACATGTGCTCAGCATGTTCTTCAAGCTACCAGGATCGGGGTTCAAAGTGCAGTTGGCCATTTGGGATCTGGCTTTCTATGCAGAGCACCTAACTGCTGCACTGCACAGCTGGCCCTGTTTTACTGTTTCTGATGTAATATCTTTCAGAAGTTGTTTGTTGTTGTTGTCAGAAGATACATGCACTTGTCTGAGGAGGGAGAAAGCACCCCTATTGGGGTGTGGACGTGCAGCAGTTCCCTCTCCTCTATCTCATCATCCCTTGGGCATTCATGCATGCTCGTGGGCCCAGAGTGGTTTGTCAGCCCCTTGGGCCAGAATTCTAACTGTGATGGGCAATGTGTTATCTGATTCCCATGACCTTAGGCTATGGCTGGCCCTTGAAATTGCTTTTTATTCTATAATGTTGTTTTTTCTTTAACTATGTTATCTTTTTTCTTTTAATAATTATTTATTTTATTTTATGTTTTCATTCTTTTTTTTTTTTTTTTTTTTTTTTTTTTTTTTTTAACACGAGGGAGACAGAGGACAGAGGGTGAGAAAGAGAGAGAGGAAGTGAGAAAGTAAGCCACCAGATTCAGGACTCGAACCCTGGTTGGCCATGTGGGAGTGTCCAGCGCCTTAACCACCACGCCACCTGCTGGTCCCCAGCTATGTTATCTTTTAACGCAGTATTCCATGGCCCTATAGGTAGTTCTTTTATTGGTCTTTGTTTTTCTCTTGGTTTGCTATTTTAAGTGAGGCTTCACTAGGGATCTTAGTGCATAGATCTATTTAAATTTTTTCAGTTTATCTCTGTGGATAAATTCCTAAGAATGAGATTATTCAGAAAAGATTTACAACCTTTTTTTTCGTGGGACAGGAGAGTTTTTTTTGGTGTAGGGGGCGTGTGCTCGCTGAGAGACAGATAGACTGCTAGAAATCACCCCCCAGGGGGGATAGCCATGCCAGAATCCCTTCTCCATTCTCCTCTCGGTATTTTTGGCATGCAAACACACGCGCCCGGTGTGAGTTTTAAGCCACCAGGACCAGGCCTTGAACTGCGGTTGACTACATGGGAAGTTCAGCGACATAACCGCTGTTTCATCTGCTGGTCCCAATTTATTAACATTTTTTATCACTCTTGCTGTGTATTGCCAAACTGCCGTCAGCAAATATGTGAGTATGTAACTGTAGTTGTATGTTATGGTGGTGGTAGTGTGAGTGCTAATTTATCTGCATGGTACCTATTCATTTTATAGATACAAATATTTTTTAAGGTTATTGCCATAGGGCATGTGTACTTGTAGGAGAAAGATACATGGGGTGGGGGGGATGAGAAATCACCTAGTCTCCTCTTGGGATTTTGGGCTCACACACACATGCCCCTGGTGTGATTTTTTGAGGCTGCCAGGTCTGGAATTCAAACTGCATTTGGCCTTGTCGGAGTCCAGCACTTGAATCGTCATACCCCCCACTGGCCTCTGATTTTATATTTTATTAGAATCATTCTATTTCCTTTGAACTTCCTTTGAATTGTTACTATCAAACACATCATTATCTGACATTTATTATTTATTTATGCCTAGCTTTTTCTGTTCCTTTTGTTTCCTTTTTTCTCTTTTTCTTTTAAGAGAGATTTTTCTGCTATAGGAAATGTGGGCTCACCATAGAGAGAGAGAACGTGAGAATTCACCCTCCAGCTGGAAGGGGGGATAGCCACGCCACAATCCCTTCTCCACCACTCTTCTCTCAGGATTTTGGGCACGCTTGGACATGTGCCTGGTGTGTTTCAAGCTGCCAGGTCTGGGACTTGAACTATAGTCAGCCGTGTGGGAGTCCAGCACCTTAACCACTATGCCGCCTGCTGGCCTCATCTGTTTGTTTATTATTCATTGTGTTGTTTTATTATTTTTTAAATAATTATTAATTTAATTAATTATTATTCTTCAATTTGACCAGAGAGAGAATGAGAAGGCAAGCCACCAAATGGTCGGCCGTGTGGGAGTCCAGCACCTTAACCACCATTCCACCTGCCTGCCCCTCCTTTTACTTATTTAGCAATCACAAAATGTCCGACATTTTCTCTTGGGTAACCATCAACTTGTACAGGAATTAGATGTAGAAACACTTGATTGTAAACGATGGAGTTTGTGTGGGGAGATTTTCTAGAAGAAAGGACTGTCAGGTGAGATTTAGTGTCATTGTCCCTTTCTCAGCCTGTTAGCTTTGGGACTGAAGCATTTTGAAGGAACCAAATTTCCTAAGCCTCTAATCAGCAAGTACCTTCTAACCTGCAAGACTGCCCACCAGCTGACGGTGAGAATCAAGAACCTCAACATGAACAGAGCCCGCGACAATATCATCAAGGTGAGTGCTTCCTGCTGCCCTCCTCACCTCCCCTGTCTGTGCCCACCCTCACTCCTCCTCTGACTCTCAGTGGGGAGGGCCTTTGAGTTTTACCTGAGACTAATTCTTCCCACCTCTGCACTAGATGAATTCCTCTGTTGACAGTGATCCATTATTTTCCTCTATAGTCTCTTCATCTTCCTGCCTTCCAGATATTTCCCCTAAAGATAAAATTGCCTATGTCTGAAAGGATTTCCCAAATCTACGTTTTCCTCTAACCATACGTTCTGTTCCTGTTACTCTCACCTCCTCACAGGGGCATACAATATTCCACTCACATCCTTCTTTTTAACTCTTTATTTAAATATTTATATAAAAATTACTTAGTATATACTTTATAGAGCCAAATAGTTTAAGGAATAAAATACTTCTGTGAGATTTGTCGTGGAAAAAATACTTTTCTCCCCTTTACTTTGCTAAGTGGGTTTTAGGAGGTTTGATGTATGTGCCTCCATATCTAGGTGAGCAGCCTGTAGCTGCCATGTATTTGTGTTTGGGTTTAGGCCTTGTTTACTCACCTTACGCCACGGAAGCGGAGGATTTGGCTCCGTCCTCACTCTCTTATTCCCATCAGAAACATACGTATTTTCTGTTCTCTCTCCAGTCTTTTCACAGTAGTTACATCACAGTTATGCTTAGAGTGTATTGAGGGCTTACGTTATAAGCATGGTAAGGGCGACATAAATGCTTCTAACAACAGCTGAGTTGTGGAGTGAATCTTTTTAATATTTTTTCCCTCAATGCTAGAGGACCCATGTGCATGCCACAGTGTGGGTAGGGTAGAGGGAGCACTCCCAAGGGGCCTGGTCATGATGCAGTCCTTTTCCCTCCATTTCTCCATCCCATCAGGAGCCTGGGCGTGTGTGCACATGCACCTGGTACTTGCTGCCAGGACCGGCCTTGGTGCGGTGGTCAGCCACATGAGATCAGACTTCCATTACATGGCGTTTAGCCATGGCACTAAGGTGTTAGACTTGCTCTGGGTACTTCTGTCTTTCCTGCTAAACATTTTGTTTCTCCTGGAGTTAGTAACAGCAAATGGAGGCTGGGGTAATGTGGGCAATTAGTTTTTGTGTTTTAGATTTTTGCGATAGGATGTGTCCACTTGCCAGAGAGCCAGGGAAATATAGAAATCACCCCTTGGTGGTGGTGGTGGGGGGGATGGTCGCACGGCAGTCCCTTCTCCTCCATTCCCCTCCTGGGATTTTTGGGCATGCATGCACATGTGCCTGGGATGGATTTCAAGCCTCCAGGCCCAGTACTCAAACCACAGAGTTGGCCATGTGAGATCTAGCACTTTAACCACCATGCCACCTGCTGTCCCCTGAGAATTGATTTTTACGATATGATTATTGCCAGATCAACATTAAAATTGGTTCCTGTTTTATGAATCTCCTCTAAGCATGGTGTGTTTGGGCGTTTGTATCTTGATGAAATCCCCCCTGAGCCTCTGACTCTGCCACTCAGGACATGTGGCCCTTTTAGCTTGCTGCTTCCAGGTCTTCCTGGGCTTTGTCTTCACCAGGGTCCTGGGATTCGTTCTGCCTTTTACTTTGTATTAGATCCTCTTATTTCTAAAATTTCACATTTTTTAAAACTTTATTTCCTTATTTTAGTGGAGTACTTTAAAGTAGCATTTTGAAGAAGAGTGCTTGAGAAGTAGTTGTACATTTAAAGTTTTAGGTTGTCGAGAAAGTCATGCATGACATATTCTTCTGTTTTTCTATGTGGAAATGCAGCATGACTTTCCCAGCAACCCAGCATCGCTATCCTTGGTCTTTGGATTGTACCAGTGTCATTTTCCTGGCCTTGAAACTACTACATAGCTGTTTGTATTGATGTCTCCTGTTAGCTGTGTGATGTGAGATGTTACCTTGTGGCAACTCCGTGAGGGTTACATGGCATAGCTCTCCTAGTTTTGCAACTTCCTGTGAATCTGTATTTCAGAATAAAAGTTAAAAAGAAAAAATATCTTGTCTATTCTCACCTTTCACTATGTCTACAATTCTACTTTGGAAATAATTTTTCTGAGAAAATTTTAAGGGCCTCCAGTGTCTTCTAGTTTCTGGTGTGCTGTTTACAAATGCGATGCCATTTGACCCTTAAACCTTTATGTGGCACCTGTTTTTGTTTGTTTGTTTGTTTTGTTTCTTTGTTTTGGAAAGGTTTTTGCTATAGGGCATGTGTGCTTGCCAGAGAGACAGAGACAGAAAGCAAGAAATCACCCCCCAGGGGGGTATGGCCACCCCGTAATCCCTTCTCCTGCATTCTCCTCTCGGGATCCTGGGCACGCATGCACACGCGCCCGGCGTGAGTTTAAGCCACCGGGTCCAAGACTCAAACCGCGGTTTACTACATGGGAGTTCAGTGACATAGCCATTATGCTAACTGCTGGTCCCCTGTGGCACCTGTTTTCTCACTCTGACAGCATGTAGCTGTTTCTTGTGTCTATAGTTTTTTGGGGTTTTTTTGAGAGATTTTTGCTACAGGGCATGTGTGCACGCACCAGAGAGACAAAGAGATAGAGACAGAAGACGAGAAGTCATCCCCTGGGGGGATGGCCATGCCACAATCCCTTCTCCATTTTCTCCTTTTGGGATTTTGCGCACGCACGTACACATGCCCAGTGTGATTTTTTAAATTTAATTTTATTTTTTGAGAAGTTTTTGCTATAGGATTCGTACACTCACCAGAGAGACAGAGAGACAGAAAGCAAGAACTCACCCCCAGGGGGTATGGTCACACCATAATCCCTTCTTCTCCATTCTCCTCTCGGGATCTTGGGCATGCATGCACGTGCGCCAGGCATGAGTTTAAGCCACTGGGTCCGGGCCTCAAACTGTGGTCAACTGCGTGGGTATCCAGTGACGTAACTATTAAGCCATTTGCTGGTCCCTGCCCAGCGTGTTTTAAGTTGTCTAATCTGAGACTCGAATTGCGGTCAGCCATGTGAGAGTCCTACGGCATAACCTTTATGCTACCTGCTGGTCCCACTGCAGTGGGTTTTTGTTTGTTTGTTTGTTTTTTTGAAAGGTTTTTGCTACAGGGTGCGTGCGCTGGCCAGACAGATAGAGAGAGACAGAGAGACAGAAAGTGAGAAATCACCCCCCAGGTGGGGATGGCCATGCCACAATCCGTTCTCCTCCATTCTCCTCTTGGGATCCTGGGCACGCACACACACACGCCTGGCATGAATTTAAAGCCACCAAGATCCAGGACGCGAGCCGCAGTCCACTACATGGGAATCCAGCGACATAGCCATTATGCTGACTGCTGGCCCCTAAACGCAGTGTTTTGATAAGGCATGATACTGTGCCTTAATAAGGGTCTGGGTCCATCCATGGTGCCAGGCTTTTGACAAACCCTTTTTATTTTGGAAATTGATAGGTTCCAGTTCAGGGAAGTTTTTCTGAATTATGTATGAATGGTTTCCTCCCCTTCATTTAGTCCAGTCTCTTTCTGCACTATTTAGTGGGAGAGGGTACAGCTCTTGGACTGGTCTCATCTTGACTTTCTTCTTTATCCCCATCACTTCCTCCTCTTTCTGTACTCTCTGAGATTCTACTTCTGCTTTTTCTTTTAGCCCTTCTGCCACGTTCAGCTCTTTATTTCTTCTATCATATTTTTCATACTGGATAGCTCTCTTTTGTTGATGGAGTGTTTTCTGATAGCAGACGGCATATGGGCAAAGTAGGGAGGCTGGAGGCTGGAGGCTGGAGGCTGGGGCTGGTCATGCTTCATTAGCAAGCTGCCGCTGCCTCTCCTGCGCCCCGCAGCCTCAGTCCAGCCATCGTCCTTTTTAGCAAAGCTTTTGCCAGGCTAAGGAGCAGGGCTGTCACCAGGTATCCCCAACTGTAGAGGGTATTTGGAACTGAACTGCTGTTTTGACATTTTTCAGTCTATTTTCTTCTTTCTTTCTTTTTAAAAATTTGCTATAAAGCTTGTGTACTTGCTGGAGAGGGAGGGAGGGAAAGTGAGAAGGCACCCCTGGGTGGATGACCATGCTGCAGTCCATTCTCCTCTCAGGATTTTGGACACGCACACACACGTACCCAGCATGTTTTTCATCCTCCTGGGTTTGGGAGTTGAACTACGTAGTCAGCTATGTGGGACCCATTTGCCTTGATCCCCCCACCCTGGCTGGCCCTGTCCTCCTCACCTTTTCCTGTTTTTAATTCCAGGTATACTTGCACTTCCTCATTGTCTGGTTTCAGTTATCACTAACTTCTCTGCTTTTTAGCTTCAAAACCAGTGTCTGTTTTTGTGTATCCTTTAACCTCTTTCTCCTTACTGACTTTTTTTAGGAGCACTATTTATTACACCAGTAGGCACAGAGGAGTTAGCACTCTGAAGCTCCGGCCCTCCTTACTGACTTTTACCTTTGTAATTTTCTGCTTTTGTTTTCATGGAGTTTTAAGAAAGGACAAAGCCAAATGGATGTGTGATTTACCCACTTTCACAATAGAACTCCCTGACTCTTTAACCCGTGAGAGGCCTGCGGTCTGGTGTTAAATCACTTCGATGCCGCATGGCCCGCAGCTCCATTGGAATCCTGGACCCGGCAGCTTGAAAAGCACACCAGGTGCTCATGTGTGCCCAAAATCCTGGAAAGAGAAATAAACGGAGGAGAAGGGATCAGGAGGAGAAGGGATCAGGCACTCTCCCCCCGCCCTGCAAGTGCTTGTGCCCTCAGGCAGATTAAAAAAAAAACAGTGTGGCTATTGTCCCCACAAAGGTCTCTATTGGGTATGTTTACCTTATCCTGTTTAAGTTCTTAGTGGCAGTTGTAGTCCATTCACACCTCCTTCAAGCTTCCTGTCATCGGCTGTGATGTTCTGACTTGCCTCAGGCTGCTCTTCTGTGGGCTCTTCCTCCTCTGCTCTGCCCTTTAAGCCGTGATCCACACCCCGGTCACACAGGTGGTCTCCCCCCAGTCTGTGATTCTTGGTATGTCCTGTCTTCCCCGGTCACACAGGTGGTCTCCCCCCAGTCCGTGATTCTTGGTATGTCCTGTCTTCCAGTGATTCTCACAGCTCTAGTCCACAGTCTTGCCAGCTCTTTTAAGGAAGTCTCAGCTCACTCACCTCACTGACCCTTCAGACGGAACTATTTCTCTGTACCCTCTGTTGCCACCACCGATAGCAACTCCCTTCCCCAGCTTCCTCCCGCTGGGCTCTGTCCTTGTGTGTGAATTACCCTGTTGCCATTCTCTCAGTCTCTGCAGCCCTGAGCATTATCCTTGACTCCTCCTGCTGGGTCACCGTACCTGTAGTCAGTCACCTAGTTCTCATTTTCCTGCTCCACTTCCTCCTCTTGGCCACGGCCATACTTCAACCCTTCGTTAGACAAGGGGATTGAAAGTTCACAGAGGGGTCAGCAATTGGCTTACTGGCTATGTCGAGGGACTCCCATATAGTAGACCGCAGTTCGAGTCCCGGACCTGGTGGCATAAACTCACGCCGGGCGCGTGTGCGTGCATGCCCAAGATCCCAAGAGGAGAATGGAGGAGAAGGGATTGCGGTGTGCCCTCCCCCCCTAGGGGGTGATTCTCACTTTCTGTCTCTCTCTTTCTGGTGAGCACACACAGCCTATAGCAAAAAACCTCTCAAAAAAAAAATGTTCACAGAAAGATGGAATTGAAGTATGTGTTTATTTTGGTGCTAAAAATATTGAAATCCATGCAGAAGTTTTTCTTTGCTTTTTTCTTTTTAAACTTTATTTATTCATTTATTTATTTTAATTGGACCAGAGAGGGACAGGGGTAGCGGGGAGTGAGAAAGCAAGCCACCTGCCAGGTCCGAGACTCAAACCACGGACAGCCATGTTGGAGTACAGTGCCCTTAACTACCAACGCCACCTGCCAGCCCCAAGATGTTTTTCATAATATACATTTTCCGAGGACTTTTTGAAAAGCTTTGTGCCTGGAGTAATTACAGTGGGTTTTGAGCCAGTGTCTGAAGCTGCTCCCATCAATTCTGCCTTTTATATTGCTGCTGCTGTTTTCTCTGTCTGCTCCTCCCGAGTGCAGTCCAGGTTGTGTGGCCTGGCACAGGAGGTCTGTCTTGCCTACCTCTGACTTTGTCTCCTGAAATCTTCATCATACTCCTTTAGTTCTAGTCAGACCAGTGTCTTTTTGGTTCCTTAAACAAATCAGTGATTTTGTACATAAAGTGTACGTGCTATTCCATGATTCAGGGAACAATTAAAATATTTTGCGATTGTGCTCACTTACCAGGGAGAGGGGAGGAGAGGAAGAGAGAGAGAAAGAGAGAAAGCCCTTCATTCACGGGGCATGGGTGTGCACGTATGCACACCAGACAGCTTTCAAGCCACAGGACCTGGGATTCAAACTGTGCACTTGACCATGTGGGATCCAGCTTCTATAGCTCCCACACCACTGGCTGGCCTCCAGTTTTTCCTCCTTAGTTGGCCAGAGGATGCATGTGGTTATCCGGTACAGAGAGATAGAAAGCAGCATTAACAGGTGCAGCCACGCTACAATCTCTTCTCCATTTCTCCATCTAGTTGGGATTTTGGGTGTGCTCACGCACATGCACCTGGGCTTTCCATGCCACTGGGGCCAGGATTCACACTGTGGTCGGCTATGTGGGATCCTGCTCCCTCAATCTCTGTGCCATGGAGGTGGCTTTGCCAGCAGGATTTTGATACTGGGATCTACCTTGTACCTCAGGCAGTCCCAGGTTGTAGGACACAAACCTGGAACCTTCCCATGAGTTCCAGCCTCACAGAGTCACACTTCACCCCTGCCCTCAGCCGCCACCCTCCGTTTACTGAACTGTCTTACGTCCTCTCTCGTTCTCCTTCCTTCCTAATCCCCTGCACACCGTCATTAGCCTAAAAGGAAGCTTTCACACGTCCACGCTGACGGTTAGCACTGCTGTTGCAGCCGTTGAGCAGGAGCAAGTCTGCGCTTGGGAATTCTCAGTCTAAAACTCTCAAGTCCAATATGCCCTAAAATCTAAAAATTTCCAAAAGAATGACTTATTTTTTAATTTATTGTTACTGTTGTTATTGTGTTTTTAATTCACCAGAAAGAGAGGAAAAGTGAGAAAGCAAGCCACCAGGTCCAGGACTCGAACCGAGGACGACCATGTGGGAGTCCAGTGCCTCGACCACCACACCACTTGGTGGCCCCAAATCTGAAATTTTCTAAGTGCCAACATGACTCTGTAAATGGAAATTTTATACTTGACCTCACAGTCAAAATACTACAATTTAAAAAATATTGTTGGCCATTCCATGGCCTGTGGTTAAGGCAGCTGGATCCTACATGGCCAGTGGTGTAGCTTGAGTCCCAGTCCCTGTGGCTTAAAAGCATGACAGGTGTGGGGACCAGCAGATGGGATAATGGTTATGTCATTGGACTCCCACCTAGATGACCACAGTTCAAGTCCCAGACTCTGACTTACAATTCATGCTGGGCGTGTGTGTGTGTGTGTGTGCGCGCGCGTGCCCAAAATCCTGAGAGGAGAATGGAGGAGAAGGG